CCACCACCACAACACACAACAACACACAACAACACACAACAACACACAACAACAACATACAACATAAAACATACAACAACATACAACATACAACTACAACCACAATCACAACAACAACAACAACATCATCATCAACATACAACAATATACAACATACAACATACAACATACAACAACATAAAACACACAACGACATACAACAACACACAACAACATACAACAACAACATACAACATACAACATACAACAACATACAACAACGTACAACAACATACAACAACACACAACAACACATACAACAGCGCATAAAACAGCACATACAAAAGCACATACAAAAGCACATACAACATACAACATACAACAACACATACAACAACACATACAACAAAACATGCAACAACACATACAACAACACATACAACAACACATACAACAACACATACAACAACACATACAACAACACATACAACAACACACACAACAACACACACAACAACACATACAACAACAACAACAACACATACAACAACAACAACAACAACAACCACAACCACAACCACAACCAACAACACATACAACACATACAACAACAACAACAACAACCACAACCACAACCGCAACCACAACCAGCAACAACAACAACCAACCACCAACAACCAACAACAACCAACAACAACCAACACCAACCAGCAACAACCAACAACAACCAACAACCAACACCCAACACCCAACACCCAACAACAACAACAACAACAACAACAAACAACAACAAACAACAACAAACAACAACAAACAACAACAAACAACAACAAACAACAACAAACAACAACAAACAACAACAAACAACAACAAACAACAACACACAACAACAAACAACAACAAACAACAACAAACAACAACAAACAACAACAAACAACAACAAACAACAACAAACAACAACAAACAACAACAACAACAACAACCACAACCACAACCACAACCAACAACCAACAACCACAACAACAACAACAACAACCAACAACAACACATACAACAACAACACATACAACAACAACACATACAACAACAACAACAGCAACAACCACAACCACAACCACAACCACAACCAACAACAACAACAACAACCAACCACCAACAACCAGTAACCAACAACCAACAACCAACCAACAACAACCAACAACAACCAACAACAACCAACACCAACCAACAACAACCAACAACCAACAACCAACACCCAACACCCAACAACAACAACAACAACCACAACCACAACCACAACCACAACCAACAACAACAACAACAACAACCAACCACCAACAACCAACAACCAGTAACCAACAACCAGTAACCAACAACCAGTAACCAACAACCAGTAACCAACAACCAGTAACCAACAACCAGTAACCAACAACCAACAACAACCAACACCAACCAACAACAACCAACAACCAACACCCAACACCCAACAACAACAACAAACAACAACAAACAACAACAAACAACAACAAACAACAACAACAACAACAACAACTACTACTACTACTCCTACTACTACTACTACTACTAGTACTACTACTACTACTACTACTCCAACTCCAACTACTGCAACTACAACTACAACTGCAACTACAACTGCAACTGCAACCTACAAATACAAGATGTGGCAAAGAGCTGAAACAACCACAGCCACAACCACACCCACAACAACAACAACGACAACAACAATAATAACAAGAACAAGAAGAAGAAGAAGAAGAAGAACAAGAAGAAGAAGAAGAAGAAACATAATAATAATAATAAGAAGAATAAGAAAAATAAAAATAAGAATAAGAATAAGCATAGAAGAAGAATAATAGAAGAATAAGAACAACAACAACCACAACCATTGGGGCATTGCCGGTGTGCGACGCGTGCGAAGTCTACAATATATACAATATCATGTGCTAGTGCATGTGCATTTAAAATTCTACTTGCGTTTATAAATACATTTACATTTACAAACATGTCATATACAGTACATTCATATACAATATATTCACGAACACAACACATATGGAATCAAACCATGCACACAACACATCAGTCTACCTGCATACCTGCAATTGAATGTGATCACCCCCTCCAATTCTTGTCCGAGAAAAACCAGGGAACCACCAATTTTGCTTCACAAAATGTTAGTACTTGTATGTCAGCAAATTGGGCATGTGACCTTTCCTGATTGCAAGCATCTCTCGTGTCCAACGGATTCCTCAGCTGCGACCCTCCCCCTTCTCGGCTCACGGTGGATTGGCTGTCACCACATCGAAGTGCGAACCCAAGGACTGGGCGAGATGAGCACGGCGAGGCTCAGCAACGTGAATGGCTGCCCCCAAAATCCAGTCATTCATCATCTCCTGAGAAACAACTGCCCTGTGTGGGGATATTTCCCATTTTCAGAGACACCCCAAGTCATATCCCCGAAAAATCATCCGCCTTATATCCGATATATATCCCCATTCTATCCCCGTTATGGATCATGGTAGGTGATATCCCTACTCACGGCGTCACTTTAAAAGATCCACATGGACGCCATGTGTCGCCTCCAGGATCTTCGGATCCCTCAAATCTCCATGCCTTGCGAAGCAAGGCCCCTGAAAATCCGCCAAAGCTGGCTGCTGTGAGTCATTTTCCATTTTCCTCCAGAAAATCAGATGATTGTGGCATGGTGAACAATGGCAAATCATGGTTTAGACTGATAACACTGATTGATTTTCCTAGTGTTTTATGATGTTTTATGATCCCCAAAAGCGATCAACAACTAATTTTCAGGATCAAGTTGTGAACGGCTCCATCGGGTCACTCCGGATCATCCTCCCAAACAGCCAAGGTTGAGACCATGAAATTCATCTGGTGGTTTCAACCGACCCCTCTGAAAAATGATGGAGTTCGTCAGTTGGGATGATTATTCCCAATATATGGAAAAACTGTTCCAAGCCACCAGCCAGTCATGAAATACACATATTTTGAAGTACCAATTCGCACGAACACGCCAACACAGAGTCCCCCTCCAAAGACTCCAGAGCCGCTCGTCCCACCCTGCCTCAAATCCGCTGCGATCTGCGGCAGAGTGACAGGACGGACCCTACCAGGTTTACATCATTAAGATTCCTGAAGCAAATCAAAGATGTGTTGAAAATGGTTGAAGTATGTATTGTGGACTTCTAAGCAATGGCTTGTTGAACCCTCTTACAGTAAACATTCCAACTCACCAACCCCAGAGCGCACGATTCTAATAAGCATCTCATGAACATTTCGCAACAGCTTTCTACCCCAAGAGTAGATGCTCTCACCTGAGTCAGCATCAGTATCATACATAAATCTATTTCAAGCCACAAAATCGGCATCAATGAGTGAATATTTGGTATGTCCAGACCTGGTGGTCTGAAGTGGTGTGACCTGTTGGGAATAAATTTGATCCTTGCTCGCAGACCAACAGTTCAGCACAACACCTTCTCTTCAAGAATGACCAGGTATACAAAGCAAGTTGATGCAATGGCGACAGACAACATCCTAATCACAGCTTCACATGTTTTCGCAACATACTGACCAAATTCAGTACATGATGAAACAGCATTATACAGTACAAACATATCATTCCCATTGCTAATCCCAAGTTGACTGTCTCAGCAACAGACACTTGTAAACCGGAATCCATTTAAGCCAAAACATCATGAACTATCACCATTCATCAAAAACATCATCATCTAACATTATCCAACACTTTCTATAAATCTCACCAGTCCCCTTTTGTCCATGATCCTTGGGGGTGAAGTTGGGGTTATAGATGGATATAACCATGGGATTCCAGCCGCAAATAACTCCCAATAACTATGGCTGGTTACAGTCATTATTTACAGTTCTGTATACTATAATATAAATATATATATATATTATACGTATATATAAAGAATTATACAAATAATATATATATATAGATTCTCCACTTAGTTCGCTGGAACTGCTGCACCCCCAAGCATCCTCTCCGGGCGCCTGTTGGGAGGACAAGGTCCGCTGACAGAGCGCCACACTGACCTCCTGCGCCTCCAGCAGTGTGCAGCGGGCGCCTGCGCCACGCTGTGCCAGCCAGGCCAGGCCAATGCTTCCGATGCCCGAACCCAAATCCAACCTGAGCCGCCAGCCCAGAAAGCCCCTTCAAAATGACAGATATGATTTGATATGATCATGGATTCTCTGTAGATACCTGCAGCCCTTCAATATCTGCAGTATCAGATGATATATCAACTTGCCTCTTCCACCAATCTCATTCTGAAGAGTTCAAGAGTATGATGAGTATGCATTGCAGGGGGGTTGCACCGCGTTGGATCAAAGTATATAACTATGATTAATTATATAGTTGTATAAGTTGATTCATTGAATCAGAAAGTACGCAAATGGAGCCAACGTGAGAATTGGACAAGTTGAAATGTGCACCTGGTTTCTGAACAACCCCAATCCGGAAAGGACAAGCCTGCCAACGAAGACGGCTTTCTCCTATCACAAATGTGAGCAGGTCATGAGAGCCATCAATCCCAGCAACCATTGAGGCCGCGACAGTCGCTTCCCATCTGGTTCTGCTTGGCACGCAAAATGGGCGCAGAGGATGTCATCAGCACAGTATCGATACCCCTGACATGCACGGCAGCAGCAGTTTGCAACCCACTATAGTCACTAGATCCGTGGTGGATTGTATGATTGACATTGAGTAAGCCCAGGCAAACCACTGCAAAGCGTTGACATCTGCCATGCAAAAGCATGCAAAAGCCTTTTCCCCTTGCGATGGGAGTATCAAAGCTTCACATGTGCTGTCCCAGGGCGCTGCTGACATTTATTCTTTGCCGATGTGCTTGTGGCGACACAAGAATCCGATGCTTATATCGCCCATGGCATATGGAACTGTACAGTTTATAGAGCAAACCATGACTATCAAGCATTGCAGGTGCCTTGTCTGGTACATCCTGCAACTATCTAACCACGCCCGTCAAGGCTGCCATGGCCACTAAGACCACACCTCCAAGGATGGCTAGGGGCAGCCAGCCAGGTTCAGGTGAAGGTGGCTGCTGCCTCTGCTGTATCTGCTGCAATTGCTGCACGCGCTGCCGTTCCTCACGCTGTCGTTGTTCCTCAAATCTCAAAGCACGCATGCTGGGGAAGGCAAAGCCACCAATGCGTCTGAAGGTTACGATGTTCACTCGCCAAGCCTCGAAGACGGCGTAAACATCAAGGCCGCTGATTTTCACCTCGGTGAGACGTTTCCGAGTGCTTTGACACAGAAGATTTTGTAGGAGGTGGATGCTTACCCCATGTTGTAACATGTTGTAACCCATTCCAGATGGGACGATCTCGCAAGAGGTTAAGCAGGGACCAGTTGTGAATTGTTGGGTGACACAGGAGAAACAAAGCACCGCCTGCTCAACAAATCCTAGTCGCAGAGTCAAAGCCTCTGTGGCGTACGTCCTCACCACGAACCGTGTTCTTGGCAGCTTCCAACATCCTGCCCAACCTCACAACGCATTCGATGAGGATGTCTGGGTTGCCGCGTCCATTCCGGTACTTCCGGCAAGCGCCATCTGGGTTCTGGGAAAAGTAGATAGCACCACCAGCAAAGCCGTGAGTTCCACACCTGAATCCTTCTTGTTCGATTCGGTCGGCAGCATATTCACTGGTTGCATGGTACAACTTCAGAGCCATCCCTGCAAGGTCAAGCTGAGCAAGGTACCCAACTTGAGCCACAATGACTGCATAGTTACATTTTGCAAATGTTTGCACACTAGCTGCTGTGCTCAAATCAGAGAATTCAGCTCAATCACTTATATAGCCTAGCTGCAAGGCCCGAGTGCATCGGTTTGGAACTCCCTTCACACCCAGCATCTATGTCTCAAAATTGCTTTTTGGGGTCAGAGTTTCTCAAGTATTTGTTGGCAATTTCAAGCCATCCCCACGTGTCTGTTTCTGTCGCCACTTCAGCCGCAAGAAATTCGATGCTTATGACCTATCTATGGAACTGTACAGCCTATAAAGCAAACATGACACCGCGCAAAGGACATGGAAGGACCAGATCTTGACACTTGCTGCCTCTGAATTGCCAAGAAGAGACTGGTCCTATCAAGCATTGCAAATGCCTTGTCTGGCACATTCTGCAACTATCTTCACTGCGGCTCATCAACCAAACAACGCTGCCATAGCCACCAAAATCACACCTCCCAGGCAGGCAAGGGGCAGCAAGCCACTCTGCCAAGCTTCATGTGAAGGCCGTTTTTCACGTTGCGGCACTCGTTGCGGCACATGTTGTGGAACAACACGTTGTAGCAGCGGTCTTGCCTCCAGCTGCGGCCGGTGGTATTGCTGCACGCGCTGCTGCTGGAAATGCAATGGCAGCCGTTGCTCTTGATCTTTCTGTCGTTGTTCCTCAAATCTCAAAGCACGCATGCTCTGGAAAGGCACACCTCCAATACGTCTGAAGGTCATGATGTTCACTCGGTGCGGGTCGTAGACGGCGTAAACATCAAAACTGGAGATTTTCACCTCAGTGATGGTTCACTCTGGTTTGCCGGTGAAAATAAAAACTGCATGTCTCCCAGTGATGGGTCCTCTGATGCTTCTCTAGCAGCAAATTCTAGCTGGTTTCGTACCCTAATCATGGAAATGTATATGAATATGTAAGTTATTCTCAACCTTCTGACTGTTGAAGCAAGTACCTGCTACGGAATTTCTATGAGAATGGACACCAACTGTCATCTGCTCTAGTCACGGAGTCGCAGCCTCTGCAGCGCACATCATATTCGTCAACTGTGTTCTTGGCAGCTTCCAACATCCTGCCCAACCTCACAACGCATTCGATGAGGATGTCTGGGTTGCCGCGTCCATTCCGGTACTTCCGGCAAGCGCCATCTGGGTTCTGGGAAAAGTAGATAGCACCACCAGCAAAGCCGTGAGTTCCACACCTGAATCCTTCTTGTTCGATTCGGTCGGCAGCATATTCACTGGTTGCATGGTACAACTTCAGAGCCATCCCTGCAAGGTCAAGCTGAGCAAGCTACCCAACTTGAGCCACGATGACTACAGACCAACATTTTAACACTTTTCACCACTAGCTCTAAATGACGAAATTGGACCACTTGGCTGTACAACTGTTGCTTTGAGTATAGGTCAAAGGGCCTTGCGGACTGTTCTCGCCCTGCGTTTCCAAATATGGGTTGTTGATGGTTGTTGGTTCCTGTGTGGATTCATTTTTGGAGTGACATAGTGATGTCTTCTTGATTTCACAAGACTCACGGTCAAAAGTGGTCAACATCTTTTCTGTTTCTGAATTTGAACCATACCTGTACCGATGATGTCTGTTTCTGCAGCCAAAGACCCTGAAGTTTGTCCGTCGTGACCCTGGCCTGTCGCAACTGGGTGATAGACCAACCATGACCTGAGCGTCAGTTGGGTGGAGTTGCAGAACCATAGTACTTGGATGCTCACCAATTGACCACTGGGGATATGGGTGTATATATATATATACACATACACATTCTTTGATATTCTTTGCATAAAAACACGCGCACACACACATATGTATATATATATATATACACATGTATTGTATGATTATACTTATGTGTGATCATGTACTAGGTACTGTACAAATCAACAAAACGGAGACATCGACAAAAAGAAGAAGAGTCCTTGGGATCCTCATCTGCATTACGCATTGGACATACACCGTGCTACAAAATGGCGTGGAACATCCTCCTAAAGTCATGGATAATTGAGGTGGAATAGAAAACACATGGGTCTATCATGGTCTATGGTGATATTTCTGGGGTGCTGTGGTGATTCTCACTCTGCAGTGTCAGGTCCATAGGCACGATATGACGGAGCTGACTGTGGACTGTCAAGTTTATCAAATAGAGTCCCAAGTCGGCTGTGTTGGCCAACTATTGTTTGGACACATGTATATTTCCACAGCATCTATTGCGTACACCCCTTGCATCTGCAAAAATGGTTGGTCATGTCATTACCATTGACGAGGCGTCTTTACAGGCTTCCCTCCTTTCGGGCTGTTGAGACATCACTCGAAACCGTGAGGACAAGATTCGTGACCCTCCCCAAAGTGTGATTTCTGTAGAGAAAATATGAGGAACCCTGGTGCATGTATAGAACTAGGATAACATGCAGATATTCACCAGCAAGCATCTAAAATGGGTCTAAAATGGGTCACATAAGCAAACAAATATGATGTTGTATTTTCCAGTGCTCATAAATCCAAACACGGGAGATCAAATGGGTCATATCTTTGATCAAACACAGGTCGTTGGACCACGCATGTTGGACCAGGCCACAGAAACGGCTTTGGGTTATGTCCAAATCCTGGCTGATTCACGGTGTGAGTTGGCTATGGATTAAACATCCAATGGTACTGTTGTATTCAAATCAATATAGCTGGTAATTAATTAGCTATGGATGTTCATCCTCCAAATATATGTATACATATAACTACATATACATATATGTATCTATAGTCTATATAGATATATTATAGATGTATATGGATGTGGTATTGTAGGTTGTGACCCCGTCCCCAATCGCAACTGCTTTTATCCGTCTGAAAAAATTGAAAAATGCAGGATGCCGAAAATCCCCTTTGGCGAACCAAGTGTTGGAGCAGATCAACGACTCCTAGTTACGAACATACTCAGGTAATAGATAGTGAAAAATAAACAAACATAATCAGATAGTCAAAGATCATCAGCATTAACACTATCATTATAAAACACACACACACATGATCTCATCATAATCGGATAACATGAGCATGCCCCTGTTGTCCTTCAGCACTGTTGATGTCTCCCCAATGTTCACCTGAGACTCCCCGGGGCAAGTGCCAGCAGGATGAGCCAAATGTGTTCATCATTGTGATTCCCATCAGATTGGGCACTTATTAGGCACTTGCTCAACGTTTGTTTCAAATCTTTCAAATTGACATGGTGCTTGTGCATTGTTAACCCTCAGAAATCACCATGAATGCCCCAAACACCACTCCGCACACCACTCCACTGGGAGCCTGACAGAACTTCCCTGACATCTGCGTTGGAGTTTCAAGCATCTGCCAGAAACGTTGCATGTCAAGTCCACGGAGATCAACTTGTCAACCGATGCATCTGCTGTGCAAAAGTATCTCAATGCGAACATATTCAAATCTAACAAAACATGGCAAATCTCAAATTCAAGATGATGTATGTGTGAGCATGTACATTACAATCTAGTACATATCAATCCAGAGTAATCCAGACACATCAAGACATTTGCCTCGCAGAATGAGTGGATTTTAACAAGCAAACATCATTTTACCGTACTAATCCTCCACACCTCTGGGCCCAGAATGTGGCCACAGCAACCTGCGCAAGGCATAGCTCTGGGATGGATGATTTCTGGTCCTTTGAATTCCTTAGATGCTCCCGGAGATGCCTTGGCGCCAAGTGCTGTCCACTGCCGATGGCTGGCCCTGGCATGAGGCGTCACTGCAGTACAAGAAGTGCTAGGAAGATTGTCGTCTCTGCTTTCAAGTGATTCAAGTGCATATCTTTGTACCCTCTGGTAAACTAACATAGCTATTGAAAATGGCCATCTATAGTGGATTTTCCCATCAAAAATGGTGATTTTCCATAGCCATGTTAAATTACCAGAGGGTAGGTCAATTTTGAAAGACAGGCAGTGCATACCGAATCATGTCTGGCCACCTGCCGGGAGCCCAAATGGACCGGGCTCGGGGTCTCGGCATTGGAGTCCAACCTGGCAGCGAAGACTTTCCTGCGGATCTTTGGGATCTTGGGCTCAAACTTCGGTGCAAAACCCTGGGGCTTTCCCTACTAGTACTGTATCACTGTATCACCTTCTCTAACATGTCTGGTTGGTGGTATACCTACCCCTCTGAAAAATATGAAAGTCAGTTGAAGTTGGGATGATTATTCCCAATATATGGAAAAAACAAATGTTCCAAACCACCAATCAGATGTGTTTGAAGTAAAATCCACCATTGCTATCCATTGCTGTCAGGTGTGTGCCAGGTACACTGGTTGATTCTTTTGAATTCGCAGCATTTCATTACAGAAACCTCTCAGAACTTCTACACACAAGACATGTCATAGTGGATTCAAATTGCAAACAAAACATCTTGGTTCCTAAAATATATTGAACGTCTGTTTGTTGCTGGTATAGGTTAATTAGATGGTTTCGACCCATCCTTAAAGTCAGTCGCTGCAATTCACTCATTCCGAAGCAAGCGGAGGACATGAATATAACACATACAGTACAAAACAACAAGCCAGTTCAGCAGCTTCTAGCATTTCCAAGTCCAAACGAGCAGTGTTCGAAACCCTCCGGATTCCCACTATGGGTGATCATTATCCCCCATAAACTAGGTATGTTCATAATCCACAAAGCATACAACAACCACTTGCTATAATCAATCAACCATCATTTCTCATATCCCCATCTTTTGCTAAGACCTAAACGATGCTCGAACCCCCAGTAACTAATCAACCAGGGTCAACTGGGCCAAGTGACGGGGAGGCTGACCAAGGCCAGTGAAGCGACAGGTCGCCATGGAAAGCGTATGAAAGCGTCACGGTGTCGATGATGGCTTAAGCCACAGCCATAGTCTGCTCAAAACCACCAGAAATTTGTGCATTTTCCACAATCTGAAATGGATATGGGTCAAAACCTTATATCCATGGTGAACACCAAAATAGCTGGCAAATGGATGTTCATCCCTATAAATGGTATCTCTAGGGATTGATCCATAGCCAAATCCACCTGAATACCTATCCCAAGGGTCCCGAGTCCCAAGTTGCCGTGCCTTTGCTTTGGGCCAAGAGCAACTTGTGGGTGCAGATTGGCAAGGGAAAGGTGGTCAAACAAGAACACTGGTGATCAATTGCAGTTGCTGGCCTAGACTGGAATTCCCACTTTCTGCAAACCCAGATCTTCAAGATCCCCTGAAACGTTCTGTACCAATTCTTGTGACATTCTGCAGAGACGATCAATGGACCATCTACAACAACAAGACGCCATGAATCCTTCATGGCGGTGGATTTTTTGTTGCATCTCCCGCACACATTAACGGTCGAGATCACTGGTGAAACGATGGCATCGTTGCTGATAGAAACCACTGAATGATAGGACATGTTTTTGTGTTTTCTCTGAAACTGTTTTTCTCCAGACACTTGTTTCTTTCATGTGAACTTTTCTGCTTTCATCTGCTTTCATAATCAACATCAACGAACCAATATCCTCATACAAAATCATACAAACATATCCCTTCATCTCACCAAAGTGACAGCATTTCTGAATTGTTAAAGGCAAACACAACTAACTCTTACAACATATCTGGTCTGGTAAGTGCTGACATCTATGGAAATACTTTCGAGGTCTCGAAAACGCTGTTCACCTCGACTTAAACTTCCACATGGTGGCACACCTGAGAAGCGACAGGATCTGACCGAACAGAAAATTAAGGTTATTGGAATTTTGGTCTGCAGAATGCCACAAATCCCTGGGCTCTATGAGGAATTTATGAGGAATTGCTAGAGTCTGGAGAGGAACATCGGATAGTGATTTTGAGTTGGCATTTTCCACGGCAGTTGTTTGCTGAATCCAGGGACGGTCCACTGGTTGATAGAATGAAGAGCCCCAAACCCAGGAAAACATTGTGGGGCGAAGAAAAGACATTCAAAATCTGAAATATCAACCCTTAAAAGTGTTTGGCTTTCAATTCCATCTGCTTCAGGTCTGCGACAAAAAAATAATAAGGCCACAGGTTGCACTGATCTGATTGGGCACTAAATTATTCTACGGTTCTATGAAATTGAGAAGGACCATTAACATGTCATGGTAGGATGCACGGAATGGTTAGATGCGCCAGAGACCTGCAAATTCGAGTTTGTCTCCATAGGGTAGTCCAGTTGTGGGCATAACCCGTCGTGGGACAAACCCACATACCCCATGTTGTTGCTTAAATATTCCATTGTACCATCATCTTCATTTGAATTGTCTTAATGGATATCTCACAACGGTATTCTGTCTGGTGGGTATAATTCAACTTCTTAACCATTGAATTTTAGGGTTCTTGGAACGTTATTTTCAGACAAATCCAGATTAACATAGACCCGGAGAATGGCTGATTCTTGAGATGAAAGTAGTCTGCCAACCCCCAACCGCATGGCAGGGTCAATATGTCCCTGCGCGTCACAACCCTTTCACACCAAAATAGCTTATAAATGAGGCTTCATCATGATAGGTTTTGATCCATACCAATGTTAGTATCCTGGGAATGGTACATATACCCCCCAAAAATGACAGCAAATCCTCCTCAAATTCCACAAATCTCCGAGGATCATATAAACCACCCAAAAAAGTCATCCTTCCAAAATCATCCAAAATCACCAAACAATATCAAAAATAGGAACCTCCCGCTACAGACCCCAGCGGAACGTCGCCTCAAAAGTCCAGCAGCGGCGGCTCAGAGATGGGCATTTGAACAACTGCCTGGTGGAACTGGCCAGGAAAAAAGAAGGGAAACACCAGGATTGCTGGGTGATTTGACACCGATTATGATAAGCTGCAGGACTTTTTGGCTTTTAAATCAGACCCATGTAGCTCTAGTGAAGGGCATATCGCAACGTGTCCAGAAACTTGGACTCTTAAATCTGCTTGATTACTTTTCATATCTGTTAAGACCAAAAACGGCCAGAGTATAGGGTCCCTGGGTCAGAAACTTCAACTCAAAGTCTGGGCAGATTCAATGATACAACGTGATCTTCTCCGTAGTACCCCAGAAACAATTATGATCCAAACCCAACCCCTCCTGTTTAAAGTCCCCCCAAATTGCACCAACTGCTTGGCCGCAGCCACATCTAGGAACCCCGCAGAAATCAAGGGCACATGCGAGTGCTGACTGGCCAAGAATATTCGGACCTGGGCGAAAACTTAAGGTGACCAGCAAACATTGCCACATGCACTGCTTCTGTGTTCTTCGTCTCGGAAAGGTAGAATTTGCAGTCTTTAAGTCAAAAACTAAACGCCTTTGAGCACCAACACCCACCAGTCTTGGAGATCCCCAACTCAAACCCACCCCAACTCAAACCCACCCCAATATTTCCAGAAAACAAAATCCCAAATCCCAGCCACGCATATTTCCCAAATCTTTCTGAAAGTCAGCGAAAGTTTCCGACCGAGGCTGTCCCGCCGTTCTCGTTGATGCATGCCACAGGTACCTCCAGTAGGTAGACCTGGCTCTGGGCAAAGTCCTATCCAATATTTTGTGTCATGCTAGATCACGTGTGTATATATATATATACAGTATATATATATGTATATGTATATATTATATTATCTTGTATTATATTAAAGTATATCATACTATACTATACTATATTATCATATATTATATTATATTATATTATACTATATTATACTATATTATATTATATATTATATATTATATATTATATATTATATATTATATATTATACATTATATATTATATATTATATATTATATATTATATATTATATATTATATATTATATTATATTGTATACATATATTTGTGACATTGTGAATGAATATGATCTCTATATATAAATATCTCCTTCTATGCAGTACAAACACATCTCTGAGCCAATTATGCAAAACAACTCCCAAGTCAGAACTAACCGCCGCCAAAAATGGAGCGACTGGTCGGCCAGTGGGCCAGTCACTCACCACCATTTCAAGTGATGTCTGGAAGTGATCAGGATCAGGAGATATCAGTGTACCCTCTGGTTATGACTAACATAGCCATGGTATAGATGGCCCATAGAAATAGATGGTTTACTGAACTTAAAAATGGTGGATCTTTCCATGGCTATGTTAGTCATAACCAGATGGTAAAACTTTTAAAGCACCTTTTGACACGAGGCATTTGGTTTTTGATTATCTGATAATCACGGATCGTCGTGGCGCTGTGAGATGCTTTGCTAGGGATCACTATGGTGAAGCTCAAGATATCTCACACCGCCTGCTGCGGCACGAGGATTGGCAGGAAGAAGCACGGCCTTGCCAATGCCGCGCATGGTTCGCAAAACTGGGGAGCAACGTGGAAATGGACCAGTTGAGTCTTGATTTTCCAAGTGTCCAAAAACATCTCGGATACGCTAACCACACACCAACCATATGGCAAATCCAGGCACATCATCTGATGAGATCAATTCTTTTGACCCAGATGATTCCTGGTGAAACATCTGAGGTCACGACTTGGGTATCCGGTACAGATTCGGGTTGGTGGTACAATGCACGGGCACATCGTTCAGAGATGTGGAACCTCGCGTTCCAAACAGTTTCGCTTGGTCGGTTTGGTCAGGAACATGATCTTCCAAAGCCACTCAACACCTCTTTTTTTTGGGAGGTTCCATGTTATTCTTGTTCAAGTTGTAACTCACAAAACAATCAACAACTGAGGTTAACCAGCAAGTGGTGGACCCAAAAATCGTCATCCCATTGGATGACCCAAAAATTCGCAAGTTTTGTGACACGCCTGGCTGCGACTATGGATGACCTTCTGTATGATGGGCCTAGCCTCACTTGGGCCCATCAAAACGACTCACTTGCGCCCACCTTCATGTGTACCTATCTTCATGTACATAAACAACCTTTTAGGGTTTATCTTTTTAGGGGACATGGGGGGGACTTGGGGTTAGGGGGGGACTTGGGGACAAGGAGAAGGGGAGTAGGTATCAACATGTACATAAACAACCATTTTAGGTTTATCTTTTTAGGGGACACGGGGGGGACTTCGGGTTAGGGGGCGACTTGGGGACAATGAGAAGGGGAGTAGGTATCAACATGTACATAAACAACCTTTTAGGGTTTATCTTTTTAGGGGACATGGGGGGGACTTGGGGTTAGGGGGGGACTTGGGGAGGAGAAGGGGAGTAGGTATCAACATGTACATAAACAACCATTTTAGGTTTATCTTTTTAGGGGACACGGGGGGGACTTCGGGTTAGGGGGCGACTTGGGGACAAGAGAAGGGGAGTAGGTATCAACATGTACATAAACAACCTTTTAGGGTTTATCTTTTTAGGGGGCATGGGGGGACTTGGGGTTAGGGTGGACTTGGGGATGGGGAGTAGGTATCAACATGTACATAAACAACCATTTTAGGTTTATCTTTTTAGGGGAAATAGGGGGGGAATTGGGGTTAGGGGGGACTTGGGGACAAGGAGAAGGGGAGTAGGTATCAACATGTACGTAAACAAGCATTTGAGGTTTATCTTTTTAGGGGGCATGGGGGGGACTTGGGGACTTGGAGACGGGGAGTAGGTATCAAAATGTACATAAACAACCATTTAAGGTTTATCTTTTTAGGGGACACGGGGGCGACTTGGGGTTAGGGGGCGACTTGGGGACAAGGAGAAGGGGAGTAGGTATCAACATCTACCTGCGTCAAATGACTGAAAGGGCTGCACGGGCACAAGCGAGACAAATCCACGGGCACATGCGAGGCCGTATCCATGTATGAGGCTTTGCGGCCAAACTGCCACTTGCCCCTTGGAAAATTCTTACGTGGGTCGCAACTACATGCTGACATATGCTGACAACCAAATCATGGCACATGAAGCTGGAGTTTCAAAGAAATCAATGGCCGAAAGCTGGACTTCTTACTTCCGAAAATCAATATGCTAGTTGATTGCGCAAAGCTTGAGATGTGCCACGATGTCATTGAGCAATGTCTATGAAATGAAATCTGCAAAATCATGCAAAATCGCTCGCGGATGCAGAGCCACTAACGGGTTGCCCCTGGCGGATTTACAGCGACACGACATATATTGCCAGTTTTCATTAAATAGCAACATGCTTCTATGAAGCGATGGGTGCATTTCTGAGCATTTCTTGTTGATCAGATCATTGATGTCATTCAACATCAATTTCTCTGGGTCAGATCTGTGCGCACACCTTGTTGGTGAAATCACGGATTCCGATCCCAGGCATGAAGCCTCTGCACCATAGTACGTGCGCCCATCAACAAACTCCTCACTTCTGATTTGAGAGCTGCGTCGACCTGACGGCTCTGCTCAACGACCTCAAATAAGCGGCCAATAGAGAACTTTTTGAGGGTTTGCAAACTCCTTCGTGTGTTTTGTGAAACTATGGGCTGCCCCAAATGCACGACTCGCTTCTGGAGGGCCGCAAGCAGGAGTCTCATGACTTCTTGCTGTGTCGCTGGGAGCTTCTTGCACTTGTCTCTGAGTAGTGAAAGCACCAGGGACAGCACCGTGGCCTCCTCCAGAGAATCGAAAAGCTGCCGTTGCGCTTTGAAGAGCTTCACTTTGGCTTTGGTATGTCCAAAGTGGCAAAACTCGCAGAGGACGCCGTTGGTGCACTTGGAGTAGAAAGCACGGATGCATGGAGCTGCGCACATCTCCGGATGACCGTAGCTTCCTCGAGAAATCGGAATGTCCTGAATTTGTCCAGTCAGGCGACTCTGTGTTTTTCTCCAATTCTTGGAATCGAAGAAACCGAAAGGATGAAAGTGGACAGTCCAACCCTATCACAAAATCATACAAAACAATACAAAACATGGATTCCCAAGCGTCAGTAGAGAAGACATGTCTTTTTTGGACAGCCCAAGAATTGCAGGTCAAAACAAGACTGAAAGAAGTCGAGCTTCTAAGTGCCAAGCGAAGGAATCAGCTGCCTTCTGCAGCAGTTTGTCCTCTGCTTCTTGACATCGATGCTCCTGAATACGGAGCGTGTAGCCCAACGACTATAAATTATAAGTTGAACTCACATTGCCAAAACCAAAGCAAACATAACCAATAATAAACATTCATAAACCTCAAATCTGTAAAACTGTACAGTTTGAGAATGACTTTGGAACGTACCCATCAACACCTGGTTGATGCTTAAAGACTCAGCACGGAAAACTCAGGAAATGGCACGCCTTCAATGCACAAAGTGCTAGGGAGAGGGGGTGACACAACTAATGCATGGACAAAATTAGCAAAGGCTGAACCTATGATGTCCTATCATAATAAATGAACGGCTGGACATAAAAACAGCGCACACACACACAATCACACACAGACGAAAACAAGCAACACATCAACAAATACAAGCATATGAATGGAATGGACGATCGACGGATTGAGCATAGGTGTAACGGAACGAAGGATTGACCAACCACATGTATGCATGAACACACGAAAGCATGAACGGATGGGATGCATATTCTGCATATTCTGCATATGTGATCAATCGTAAAATATCACAGATTCATACAGATCCACATAGCATCTACTGGTTGTGCAATTAGTTGACGAGTCAAATGCCCATGTTCAGTGGGTAAATGACACTGCTGCTGTTTTTGTCCATGCAAGATTCGATACTCTCCTTGTATCTTTCCCGTCAGAACACCAGCTATTTATCAAATGGACCGTGAACTACAAAAGCACCTTCAAAATTAGCAACCGGTTTAAGAATGAGTTTAACAATCTTTCGTGATGTTTCGTGGGTATTCTCCATCATTGGCCACCACATATCTTCCCCCGTTGCGTTGCCAAGCAGCTTGCTGCAAACCTTCCAGGCCGCTGCATGAATGTCGACGCGAAGAACCGACTTCGATCGTTTCCACGTGCTCAACCACCTCCAAGAAAGTGCGTCGGCACCTCAGAGTGATCCCCACGACGGAGTCCTAATTTTTGTCGAACTGGAAGACTTATGGAGGGTTCCTGTAAATGTTACTTCTGTACAATTCTGGGATATACGAATTCTGAATAATTTGGGGCTGTAGGTTGTGAATGATTCTGGTTTGTTCCATCATAGCATATTGTGCATATATGTATATATATGATATTGTACATATATATATATATATACATACATACATGATTATATATGTAATATTTTGGAATGGTCTGAGTATTTTGAAGACTGCAAGAGATGATTTGAGGCACCATTTTATTAACAAGTCATCTGAGGACGCTCAAACAATTCCCCGAATCGACTCCTGTGGTGAACAAAGGGCCCAGAAAATTCAGGGACTTGGACTGATCTGGATATGGCTGGTCGTTTTTAGCACAAAAAAACATCCAATTCTTGGGGTTGACCATTGACCAGTAAGATCATTACAATCACACATCTTTCAAATGATGAAAACGCTGAAACCCCGGTGGATCTTCTACACAATTCACAATTTGCGATTTTTGAACTACACGGAAATACGGCTGTGCAGTGACCAAAGCAAACCGCGACTACGGATACTCAGACCCTGGGCATAATGCATCTATTTCACCAAGGTACCGCAAGGACATAGTCGGGAGATCTGGGAATACCCAGATCCGTCAGTTGACTGGCAGCCAGCTCTGATCCGAAACACTGAGAAAAACATGAAACACATCTAGAGGAACAATGAAAAACAATGAAAACCATTCGACAAACAAAGCAAATCAACCTTTGAACTAAATCTAGAACCGTGTCTACAATTTTTTCGCCTTGTCGCATGTGGAGGTTGTAGAATTTTGAAGCTGCATGATTCCCAGCAGCTACTTCATCATCTCCAGTTGACTCATAAACTAGTATAAACTCAACGTGTCTCCAATGTTCATATTTGAAGGATCAGTTCTGGGCCGGACCACATCCCAGAGAATTTCAGAATATCAGAAAATCCTCCCCAACACTGGCTAACCTGAGATACGTGGCAATCGAAACAAATCATCCCGAGCAAGACATTGCATGTTCCCATTGAGATTTATCGATTGACCTGCCAATCACCTGCCAATTTTCTTACAAGTTTTTACTCCAACCTTTGGAAAAATTGAGCACCCCCGTTTTTGACACAAAAAATAACCGAACCAAGCCATGTTTGCCGGGTGCATCACAACTCCACCATTGTTTTTGCTGCACGGATCTGCCCCCGCCCTCAGGGTCACCCCGAAACCTCTCAGGACCCTGGGACCCTGACCGGCATTTTGGATTCTCACCAGAATCTTGAACTGCGGACCCATGCCTGCGCTCAGCCATGAAATGAAGGTATTCATGGTATGCCCCGTTTGGAGACAAAACAACAACTGGGGGATATCTTTCGTTCACATACGGACACTATCTACTTGATTTTCCAGGGTTTTGGGTGGAATGCCTCCGTTCTTTGTTGGAACTGTACATCATTTTGCAATTTTGGGGTACACCCAGTCTTGGACCAACCATGACAGATCCGGATAGTATACCCGATTTTGTGACTGGTATCCCCCAAATCCTCTGTAAAATGGTTGGTTTCAGCCTTTTTTCATTGTAAAATCCCCAGGAAGTCTTTGAATCCCATTGAATCCCGTTAATACCCCATTGGAATCGTCTTTCTGCATTCTTATTGCTTAGTAATATCCCCAGGAAATATCATGAAATATCCATCCCCCCATAGCCCCATCGAGTGCCTAGCACTTGTGCGTTGATTCGCACCTGTGCTCCACCTGAAGAGGACCTGAGGAGTTTTCGGCAAGCGATTTCGCCAACATGGGGGATATTTTGTGATGTGAATCGAGATGTACAGTATCAAGCTACGTGCGAACCATGTTTCCACATAGATAAGACAAGATAAGATACGATAGACAAGAGAAGATAAGACAGATAATATAGATCAGACATATCAAATAGATCAGGTAGATCAGACAAACAGACAGACCTTCAGACAGACAGGCAGGCAGGCAGGTGGATAGATGGATAAATGAATAGATGGATAGATGGATAGATGGATGGACGGTTAGATGGATGGATGGATGGATGGATAGAGATAGAGATAGAGATAGATATAGATATATATATAGATAGATAGATCGCAGATAGATCGATAGATAGATAAACAGATAGACAGACAAAGAGATAGATAGAAAGAAAGAAAGATAGATACAGTAGATAGATTGATGGATCGATCCATGGATAGATAGATAGATAGATAGATAGATATAGAATTAGAGCGAATTAGATTAGATAGGATTAGATAGGTAGGATTAGATTAGATAGATAGGATAAGAACGATAGTATTAGATAGTTGGGATTAGTTAGCCAGTTCGATAGATAGATAGATAGATAGATAGGTAAGTACAATAGATAACCAAGATAGATAAGTCAGAAAGCAAATGAATATAGATAAGTAACATGACAAGTAAGATAGAAAAGTAAAATAGATAAGTAAGAAATAAAAGTAATATAGATAAGCAAGATAGATAAGTAAGATAGATGCGCAAGATAGATAAGTAAGATAGACAAATAAAATAGATCAGTAAGAAAGAAAGATACAAAGATATAACGGTAGACAGATAGAAAGATAGAATGATAGAACGGTAGACAAATAGAAAGATAGAACGATAGACAGATAGAAAGATAGAAAGATAGAACGATGGAGAGATAAATAGATAGAGAGAGATAGATAGATAGATAAGATAAGATAAGATAAGATAAGATAAGATAAGATAAGATAAGATAGGATAGATAGATAGATAGATAGATAGATAGATAGATAGAACGATAGAACGATAGAGATAGAGACAGAGACATAGATAGATAGATGGATGGATGGATAGATAGATGGATAGATAGATAGATCGCAGATAGATTGATAGATACATAAACAGATAGACAGACAAAGAGATAGATAGAAAGAAAGAAAGATAGATACAGTAGATAGATTGATGGATCGATCCATGGATAGATAGATAGATAGATATAGAATTAGAGCGAATTAGATTAGATAGGATTAGATAGGTAGGATTAGATTAGATAGATAGGATAAGAAAGATAGTATTAGATAGTTAGGATTAGATAGATAGATCGATAGATAGATCGATAGATAGATAGATAGATCAATCGATAGACATAGGCGTAGACGTAGATACAACGGATAAGGGATGCGTATATATATATATAACATGTATATATATATACATGTTTAAATTTAATATCATAGATGTAGATGTAAACATGATGGATGAGGGATATATCTATATTAGTATGTTGGGAAATAGGTATATATATATACATCAGCTATATCAGACACAATATATAGATCTAGATACATATCTCTCACACATACATATATGTATATATATACATATATATCATATCAATCAATCAATCAATCAATCAATCAAATCAATCAATCAATCAATCAATATATATATATATACATCATGTATATATATATATATACACACCTCATGTATGTAAATATCATACATACACACATACACATATACATCATATATCATCTATATCATATGTGTCACACACACACGTATGTATATATATATGTATATATATATGTATATATATATGTATATATATATGTATATATATATGTATATATATGTATATATATATATGTATATATATATATGTATATATATATGTATATATATATATGAATATATATATATATTTACATATCATAAATCATACATTTGTGTACATATATACTATATATATAAATCACACACATATATAGATTATAGATACATATAATATCCAAGTATCTGATGAATATGGATATACCACAGCAACAACAATAACGGGGACATTTCCAGGGCTGTTCACGAAGTGCTGGGGTTCCTGACATAGGCCCGTGCCCGGTGCCCAGCAAGTTCACATACCTGGCACAGTGCGGGATGTACATCATTGTATATATTGTATATCGATTGTAGAGTATACCATATATATATACAATATACAGAACATCAACATACTATATACTATGTATTCTATGATATATATATATAATTATATAGGATATAGTATATATAATATACGTATAGTAAAACATATCTATATGTATATTGCATATAAACATGTATACAATGTATATATATATATATGTATACAATATATATATAATACAATATATATATATATACACAATATTGTATGATATGTAATATGTTCTATGTAAAATATATCATACACAATATTTCATATATCATATATAGTCTACAACATAATTTATAAGATACAATATATAATACATAACACATAATATTATGCATTGCATGATATATCTCGATAGATTACACTAGTTCACCAGCCTGAAATAAGGCCGTTTGGGGATGATTCCCTTACTAAGCATGATTCCAGTGAAGTCACAGTGAGGTCATTATAATTTGCCATATGATATATGATATGATATATATATGGTATATATATAATATCATATATAATACATAATAATACATATATAAAATAATATCTATATCTTTCACATCTCAACAGGGCCGGGTTCACGCCCTTGCAGTAGACAAGCGAAGCCTGGGCAAGGATGGTGATTTCAGCAACATGTTTGATCCAATCCGGGTGAATAGTCATGTTTGTCATGTCTCCATAAAAATCCATACCTGGTTGGTGGCTGACCTCCCCCTCTGAAAAATGATGGAGTTAAAGTCAGTTGGGATTATGACATTCCCAATATATGGAAAAATACAAAAGATTCTCCAAACCACCAACCAGATTCCATCCATTTGGACAAAAACACAGTGGTTTAGCCAGCATTTTACAAAAAGGATTCAATGGAATTCAATGGATTGCTCTGTTGAATTTCCCCAAAAAAACACTTCTGAGAAGCACGTAGACCTTGGCCCATATGAGACATCTTTCAAAAAGTGGCATTTTTAAACATTGAACATCAACTGGAAGAAGCATTGGCGGCCTGGTGTCTCTAAGGCACCCGACTTGCATAAGTCCCTTTGAAAGGTCCTGCGTTAGCGAGAATCTTCCTGATGCAATCTATGGCTAGTTCCACACCAGTCCAAGAACTTTTTTTTTCTGGTTTTTTTTCACTTCCTGCAGCTTGCTGAAGTTACGATGAGTTTGGGAAGGAGGCCCAAACTCAGGTACTGAAGAAGTGCTAGCAGGAATTTCTTGTTTTTGCATCCACACGCTTTTGGGATGATAGATAGTGATAGATATTTCTTCATACAAATGATGTGTTTCCATAGAGGTCTGAAAGGGGGTGAAGCACATAAAGCCACATGTTGGTGGGCAAACAAAGAGAGAGAGAGATAGATAGATTAGATTAGATTAGATTAGATTTAGATTAGATTAGATTAGATTAGATCGATAGATAGACAGATAGATAGATAATATAGTATATAGAGTATATATCCTAAGCACTTTTGCTGGCTTGATTGACCTTTACTAATCATCACCTATGTTGAGGTCGGCCTTTTTTGTTGGAAAATTGACAGCTCCATGGAGCGAGAATCACGTGTCCTGTGCATATCAATCGCCTGCTCTCGCTCTCTGCTGGTCTGCTCCACATACCTCGTAGCAGCTCGTAGCATATTCACCAAGGGACAAGCACTGGAATAAGACAAGTCCTGCATCTGTTCAAGAATCTCAAGAAATTTGAGCAGTGCTCCTTTGGAGATCTTCTTTCAGGCCACTCTTTTTCAATTCCTCTTGGAAATAATATAATTATCTGAAAAAGACACTATTCTGTGCCAAGAAAAATTGAAAACCATATTTGTCATGCCATCATGCCATGCTTTTTCAATATTGTAACTGACAATATCTCATAGAATTTGAGCTTTTGCAAAACATGGCATCAACAATATTGGTATACCATAGATATGCCATAGCTATCTGCTTTTGCTAAGCGCGAGGCAATTTGGTCTTCTTGGGAACGTCCAGCGGGATGTCCTCTACTGGATGGATCAAAAAATTGGATCTAGCTGTCACCATTATCATCACTAATTAGTTGGTTAAAAAACATGGTTAAATGTTTACCATCCCCCAGTCAGAAAACCATAAATATATAGGTGCTAGAAACTTACCATTCCCATAAATGGGTGGTAAAAATGACATTGTTTTACCCACAATACCATCATTGTCCCTTGATCATAGCCTCCACTAACCGACTAAGCACCAGAACCAAGATCTCTTATTTTCAGAGATTTTCAGAACATAGAACATACAACAAGTAGGGCGTGCTGCTCTCAACGTTGCCACACAATACCACACTTTTATGATCTTTTATGTGGGTTAGTGATGCTTGGAGGCTATGTCCCCTTTATCCCTGGCGCCTGTTCAGGTGGAGGACCAGCATTCACAGAGCTGCCGTCCAGATTGGCCGTGCGCTGCAAGATCTTCACCTTACAACACCGGACACCATTTAAGCCCAATGTGGAAACCATGGAAATTTACGCAAACCATATACAAACCTTATACAAACATCGCAGTATATCGCAGTTTCCATAAGTTTCAGTGGGAACAAAATGGAACAAATGATCTTCCAACCAGCATTTTGATCCATTTTCTCAGATCAACCCGGCGTGGTCCAACGATACCTGAGCTCCCTACCATCAAAGCTCCGGACTTAAAGCTCAACACCTCGTTTTATTTCATGGCTGGCAACTTGAAAATCGGATGTGAAAAAACTATCTGATATAGTCATTTCACATCTGGTGTCATCCCCAAATATCCCATATAGTAATCCATATAGTAATCATATAGTTCCATCATATTCCATATGTGGTTGAAAGTGAAGAGGATTTGAAACCACGACCAAGAATGGACTGTAGGAGCTGAAGGGCCAGTAGTACAGCTTGGATAGACATGAGCAGACTATGTTAAACTGGGAAGAAAAACGAGTCTGTGTGGGCTCTTAATCAAAAAATGTTCGAAATGACCGCCATTGTGAAGCACTCCACGAAGTGGAAAATACAGTCTTCCATTGTCTTCCTCTTTCAGTTGCTGTTTCCTCTTCAGTTGGTAAACATTCTCACTTGCAGAATGTTGGTGGAGTCCCTGAAATTATCAAAGTGCTGAGTGTTTTTTGTGAACCTGGCACCAATCAGTCACGGCAGGAATAACATGGGTCTATGACCTATGATGATTCATGCAGTGTAACTTTAAGTGCAAAGAAATGCAAAGACTGGGAGTTTATCATAGTTTATCTCCGGTAATCCTTGGAAATTAGCAACATCCCAGAGCCCCTCGGCATGCCGAGGCACCATCGAGCCCTCCTCCCGGCCGAAGGTTCCAAGCTTAATTCCGGAGACCACATCATTCCTGAGAGCCGACTCAGTCCATCGGACATTCGTCTGCAAATCATCCACCAACTCGCACAATATTTCACGTTGAATCATGTTGTTATCTGGATGACTAGGGGATGACCCTCAGAGCTATAGTACATATATGTACATACATATATATATAGTATTTTTGAATTCCTTTTTGCTTCGCTTCTTCCCCCTTGATGATGTCGCGAAAGACCCGTTCGTTTGCCCAGAAACGTTTCCACCGTGGCTATGAGGTGCTTCCCATTGTAGAGACGCACCTACTGCAACTGACTATGGATCTGACAGCTTGATTTTTCAGTGAACATCTACAGGTCAAGGTATTTTACGGTACGCCCATTCTATATGGATAAAGATTGCTTGAACATGGGGAGTTCATGTAAATCATCCAAAGATCATTAAACATCATTAGAACATCAATTCCGGGACAAGCACAGGAACTCAGAGCTAGCCACTGGTGATGTCGCTACCATGGGTGCCTCACCATTCTGCAAAGCCACCACCAAAGCCTTGGTCTGAAAACCGGGGTACCCCCAAACTTCAAACTTCCATGGGTGCTTAGCCAATTTTTCCATCATTTTCCCATATATCTTCCCTATTAAAATCTATTAAAGGTTAATAGACATCATTAACCAATTTTCCATCTATTTTCCACCATTTTCCCATATGTTCCCTATGAAAATCCATCAAAACTGGGTTTTTTTCATAGGGATCCTCCTCCACTCAGGCCCCAACCTTGGCCACACGGGATTTTGTGATTTGCAGCAAGGACATACACGAGATCGGGCAGGGCCTTGGTGGACCATGGTTGTCACATTACACACACAAAAACTATGTATCAATATGTTACGATATGTTACAATATGTTATATATATATTGTTATATATATATATTGTTATATATATATTGTTATATATATATTGTTATATATAATCATATAAATATATAATAATACATATATAAATAAACATATATATATATAATATGTTACAATACGAAGTCTTGGATAACCATGGTCAGTGGTGGTCTAATGACTTGAATGCTTTTTGGGTACCATGACTTCGGAAAGCCCCATGCCATGTTGCCATCCATTTGGATCCATCTCCAACTGCCTGGCACGCCCTGAGTCGATTTCTTCATCCCACGTGGACACGCCACTGAAGCTGAGGACCAAACAAGTAGATGGAGTGATTCTTCTTACCCTTGAAGTGGAAACAGTGTATGACCTGTGCAAAAGAAAAATGGATATCCTTGGCCCCAAAAAACATGTTGCCTGTAAATAGTCAACGAAAATCTGCTCGTACATTCTGCATCATCCGGCATCATCTTGCTATTTGGGACTCAGAGACTCACTTGGCTAGTCATTTCGACACCAAAGGAATCTCCCACCAAACTGCTGATCAAACCGCAGATGGAACCGCAGCACTGAGAAGAACGCGTTATCCATGCAGCCGACGTAGACATTTTTGTCCTGGCAGGGGCAGTCTTTTTTAAAGCGTGTAAAGGCTATCATACACGACGAATCGATGCAGAATAAGCAAGATTGGAAGGACACCTAAGCTGATTAATCGGTACCTTGTCGTCCTACACAACTTTCAAGCCCAAACCCTCCGAATCACTTGGATGCTGCTTGTTGACTTGAGATTTTCAGGGTTTTTCCATATCTTTCAATCCAAGAATCTCCTGAAGCTGGAATGAAGCTGGAATTTTTCAGACCAAGAAAGCGCCCGGTTTGCTGGGCTCTGGGGATCCCCAACAAATCTGACGAGTCCCACAGGCTGAGTCTCCAATTCGATGACATTGCTGAGCACCTCTGCAGATATTTACGGATGCTGTTTTGATATAGATGTCATGTAATTCATGTAGTAGGGCAATCCAATAAAATTAAAATGGGACGGTTTACTCAAAATCTCTGAGAAAGCGACCCACAAAATGTCACTTCTGACGTGAACATCTCAGTATGACAGCCGACAATACCTGGTAGATCCTGGTAGTACCTTGGGGTCATTACCCTAAATTTTCACCGTCGAAAAGTCCCAGCCATTGCCTGTCCATTTTTGACAGTGTAGATATTCCCGTCTCTGCAGGCCACCGTGATCCTGGTACCGTAGCATTGTGAGCACAATGCCAAAAATGTAACTCTTACACATAGGACATTTCATGTAGCATTTCAATGTATATTATTGTATATTATTGTATATTATTGTATGTTATTGTATGTTATTGTATGTTATGGTATATTTTATAATAAGTTTTATATTTCAGTATCATCATGTATCATCTATGAATATCCATTCATAGCATATTCATAGCGTTTCCGCATGACATTCCAATGCGCCTTTCAGTGGCAACTTTATGCCACTTTTTTTGGCGCCCTGTCCTGTACTCCACATCAAACAGCCCCAGCACTGAGATGAAGGTGGGTACAGCTTCCAACTTCACCTTGGCTGCCAGGTTCAATGCGTTGCTGTCCAGAATGTAGATCATCCTGTTCTCCGTGCCGATCACCAACATGCTGACCTCGTCGTGGCTCGTCTGGCTCGTCTAACCCCGTGTTTGTTTAAAGGAACCGCGAAAGGGGACTGGTGTTAAATGGATGGGTTTGGGGTTGTTAAATGGTATCATCATCTATCATGAATCTGGTTGGTGGTGCAAAAACCATCTTGAAAAATATACGAAAGTCAATGGGAAGGATGACATCCCCATATATGAAATGGAAAATAAAACAGGTTTGAAACCACCAACCAGATATTCTACAATACTACCATGCTGGGCTCTCTGTTTTCACCTGTCCTTGCAAACACCAATACAGCCTTTTCCTTTCCATCAAACGGATGTCGACTTTAAAAAGGGAAAACTGCCGCAAATCCATTTGGTAGATGGTCTTGAATCACAAACATGTAGTCATCAGTATTTCATTTCTAGTCTTCGGTGAACTATCCCAGGAATGGAACAGACATTGGAAGTCCAAGGCAGTGGCCCAGTGGGGGCCCAGTGGGGGACGGCCCAGTGGGAGGTCACCAACCAACCCACTCAGATGTGGACTGCAGTTGGCTCGTCCATGTTTTGCTTCAGAACCTGTTGTGGTTTCTGAATGGGGACCATTGGGACCCCGATGACTCGATGACCTCTGTGTTTACCACAACGGATGGCGCATGGCGGCATGGCGCTCTGGGGCGCCCAAAACAACCAGCCTCCGTACATGTGATGGAGGTCTGCTGCTCATGCAAGTATTCCTCCAAGCTGAGCACGGCAACTGAACTGATGGAAGATACATGGCCAAAATGTCATCACAGTTCCGAGACAACATGAGCCATAGAAAGAAGATACAAGACCAGGGCCAAACATTTGCTGACCTCTTAACCACATCCTCCTAGTAACAGTTGTCATCCCACTTGGAACTAAGGTAAGCGAAGACAAAATTGCTTTAAATGGTTTCAACCCAACTTGCAAACATCTTCCAACTGCTTCTTGGTAGCAAAAAAACATCACATTTGTCGGCAGCAAGTCCTTGTGAGCGCGAATGTATTCGGTCTGCGCTTCTAATTCCTGTTGTCTACAAGGCAGTGGTATGCACCAACAAAAGGATCACCGTTGGGCGGATTTGTTTAAGAATGGGGTATCCCAAAAAGCCAATGGTCTATCACGGTCTATCATGACTTTTCCCCATTCAACTTGGCATTATTGGGGTATCCCCCATTGGACCAGCCCATTTGCCTATTGATCATTGATCAGCTGCTCTTGTTTTCATATTTTCATTGATACATATTTCATAGGGAAGCAACATGCTTCATTGATATCATTGATGCTATTGCCGATCAGCGCTGGTGATTCAGATTTAGGATCATTTGGGTTCTTGGGCTTGGGCCCAATTTTTAGGAGTTTTCAAGTTGCAGCTTTTGAACGTTGACAATCCAAGCTTTTCATCTGCCAGAAATCATCTGGTTGGTGGTTGACCTACCCCTCTGAAAAATGATGGAGTTCGTCAGTTGGGATGATGATATTCCCAATTATTACTATTATTATTATTATTAATATATATATATGGAGAAATGAAAAATGTTCCAAACCACCAACCAGTCATAGTGTCCAATGGCGACTCAGAGCCAATTCCACCCAGCGGTGCTGCCTCCACAGCAAGGAAATCGATGGAGAGGTTGGACAGGGCCACCCCGTTTTCACCTAGGAATGGGGTCGCCCACGGCCGCAGCACCATCGAAGGCAGGGCTACCACTAACGAATGATTGTTGTGCCAAACATCCAAGCAAACCGACTACATCACTTCATATAAATACATTACATATATTAATCCCTTCCCCCTAATGTTAAATGTCCCCCTAATCAAAACCTTGGTGAAATGTATTGGATATATTCAATTTTTGCGTCAACAAACATTGGAGGCAACCAAAATATTGGCAACATATTCGCACTTTGCAAAATTAGCACATAGCAACATACCCTCTGGTAAACTAACATAGCTATTGAAAATGGCCATAGAAATAGTGAGATTTCCCATTAAAAATGGTGATTTTCCATAGCTATGTTAGTTTACCAGAGGGTATATGTGAACTATATGTGAACTACAGAAAAACACAGTCCGACACTTCCAGGATGATTTCCAGCCCAAAGGCGGGCCCTCGAGACGGGCCAAAACCTGGGCCCCACGGCGTGCCGTGTTCAGCCGTTCGAAGCCAGCCTGGATGTCACTGGAGTCCTGGCCCATCTCCTTGACCGAGCCATGGAGGGACTGAGTGGAGATCAAACCATTGGTTAAACCATCCTTTTTGGATCTTTTTGGAAGATGATCTTAGTATATCTTAGTGATGTCCAGATTTTTTTTACAGATGTCTTTAGTATCAAACCATCCACTTTTTCTTGACTTTAACTCATGCCCAATAGGGAGATGACTGGATAAAGGTGGGAAAATCAGCAAACAAGACCTCAAAATGAGTACGCACGGATTTCCCCATGAACCCATCATGAACACATGGTTTTTGTCTCTGCAAATTGGGTATACTCCCCATGAACTCAGCCATTGAGTGATGATGATCATCCATTGGCTTTGGGGCACCCTCTTTTCAAACATGCGGTTAGAAGTACCTGGGAAGTTCATGGACCTTACCCAATAGTTTTATTCTGACACCACAATGCCGTCCAAGTGTATTCCATTCCAAAGAGTTTTGATAGTTTTGTAATGGGACATTGCATATTATGTATGGATATGTATGGATGATGTTCTCATTCATAGCTCCATCTTTGATCATCTTTGGGGATATAAAAAATTGCCATGTTCACCGGATGTGTCTCCTCCCAGATCTGGGATTCCACAGGGTCAATCTCTATGGGTGGCAGCCGGTACCTCAGAGCTTTCACATCATCATTTCCGTCACATGTATGTTGAAAAAGAATTAATTGATGTTTATATATAGTAATATAGACCTCTCACCTTTACAGTTTCATCATCCAAGCTTCAACACCAAGCCAACACATGAGATATCATACATCTCGTGACCATCATGGCGCACTGCATCGAAGGCCGCATATTCCGGAAGATCAAGACCTTGCTGAATCGTCACTTGAGATCGGAAAGTGATAAATCATACCAACTTCGACTAAAAATCCTTTTCCTGGTTCCAAAGAAGTATGTGGCTGCTTTGAATATATATATATATATATACATAGATAGTGGATATACATGTGTATATATATATACATACATATACATATGTATATATATATTATACATATATCTTGCCCTATATGTAATACACATACTTGTCCTATGCATATCTATGCATTATATCATATCGACCTGGTTACGCTTATGGATGGCGATAATGACACAAACACAGCCTGCCACCGGTGCCCAACCCTTGGCCCCCAAACCCTGTGACCGCTCGCAACTGCAAGCGTTGGAATGGGTGGGTTGCCTACCTGCACAGTTGTGGGATGGATCAAAAATGATCAAAACCCGGCGCAACCCTAAACCCCAAACATCAAAATAGCTGGCAAATGGATATTTCCCTCAAAAATCCTACTAGCCGTATTGACCAGTGACCCATCCCATTCATTTATTGCATTTCTTGCAAGATCTCGGATTGTAACTTGCGCAATTTTTTTCTGCGGCATTGGATCCTAAATTGCCAATTCAGAACAAAAACTGTGCTGGTTTCCGAAGGAGTTCTGCATTGTATGACCTAGGACCGTTTGCATCGTTTTGCCACCTTTCTCGCTGGCAGGGTCCACCAAAGTCGGGACCTAAATGGCGCCCCCGCCTCGTGGTAAAAGGCTTGGACGGCGCAGGGCACATCTGGCAGCTTGTGCTCCCACTGGATGGTGGTGCCCTGGCGAAATCATCCAAATCCTGGTTGGTGGTTGACCTACCCCTCTGAAAAATGATGGAGTTCGCCAGTTGGGATTATGACATTCCCAATATATGGAAAAATCAAACATGTTCCAAACCACCAACCAGAAATCTCAATTTTCCATCTAAAACATATTAAAACAACGTAACACCCATCTCATCATCTCTCTCTGCCAACCTCATCTTTGCCAAGCATCCTCTCACCATGTTGTCTTTACCATTCGGCATCCAACATTTGGCTGTCGCAGTGACCCTTGGCCTTGTACATTCGAATGCGCTTCTTCATGTCAACCTGCAAGGCGAGCCACATCCAGTGGCCTGTGGGATCCCACAAGGGTCAAAGGGCCCCATCGCCACTGGACTCGCCACTCCAAGGGACTGAAGATCGCTAAAAAAAGACCCTGACATCAACATTGACACTGCAATCATCCAAAACTATGGCTATAATATGCTATAATAATCATCAACATGCTCGGAAAACCACTGTCCGAAATGTCCAAAATGATCAGCAGAATCATCGACGTACGCATCAACTATCGATCCATCAAAAACTCCAACATCAACTATCGACCCCCATTCGAGGCATCCATATCGGCCCACCATCACCAAGCGGTGGTCGCCATCCGCTACGAGGTCGGCTAGGCATAGGAAAGACCTCCAGTGATCCAATCCATTTCACCAGCTGCTGGGTTTTTGGAAGCATTCTAAACACAGGTGATATCTGATATTATCTAACAATCCAATGACCTTGGGGATGGGGCTAAAATATATCATTTGATAACTATAAAATAACTATCAAATCTGCTTGGGAAACTCAAACTCAAACCATTGTTGGATTGGGAATCTTACAAACATAGCCGACATAGAAGCGCTCCAGAAAAACGGTAGCCTCAACACGTGGGACATGGAGCCATGGCCGCCATGGCCGCCATGGCTGTGTAGCGGATCACAGATCAACTGTGGGTTCCTGGCGAATAGCAGCTCATGCCTGCAACTGGGTCATGCCAAGCCTCGGTGCAATCGGTTTTTTACATATCTTCCCACTGAAATACCCAAGGGCCTACAGAAATTGTAAACGGGGACTTCATGTATAAGGGGCCCCCCCAAAAAATCATCAAAACGAATTTCATATGATCGGGGGTATGTGATTTCATCATATTTCATCCACGTATGTTTCATATAGTCCATTGTGCTCCAGATCAATTTTGTCAGTTACTCCCAATTAGGAGTACCATTTTGGTTAGTGAACTCACTAGATTCGAAGGTAGAGGACAAATTCATGGCATTCATGGTTCTGAAGTTCAACAGTTTCACCCATTGGTTCACACCATAGCAACCCCCCAAAAAGATCAACGTTTAATGCATACAAAACCACACAAATCCTACCAAGACAGAGCCAATTTTTCAACCTTTTCCATCTTTCCGAGGGTTAAATCACTGGTAATCTAACAGTTTGCTAGGGAACATCACCATGCTATGAATAACTAAATCATCGACCTATATTCATGATATTCTGGGCTATACCATAGCAAACTGCTAAATTACCAGAGGAATCCAGAGGATATATCATGATAGATCCCCAGTTACTCAGTTACATATTCCATGATCTTCGAAGAATTATCCCATCCCCAGCTATCCCCCAGGGTCTCCAGGTGTGTTGCCATATCCCTAGGGATCCCTAGGGATTCGGACGTCGAGCCACGGGCTCTTCTTCTTCTCTGGCTCTGCCTCGAGGATTTCTGGTAACTGGGTCACAACCTATGCGCAAAACGTGTGTGTATATATAAATGTATATATATATATAAATGTATATATATGTTGGTAGCCACCCAACGCAAGCGCAATGCCGATTGCGCACCTTTTCATCGCTTGGCCCTGAAAGTGCCTTCGACCGAACAGCTCATGTACAGACCTTTGGACCCATTGGATCAACAACACTCCTTATATTCTGTAGTTGCGCTATCTTTCTCTATGGTGCATAGCGACGTGGAACATCGGTGCCAGGGATCATAACCCCCTGAGAATCTCCAGCTGCGACCATTGTGCGATCCTTCATCGCAATGAGATATTCCACCAAATCACGAAGCTGTGGTGAACCATTGGTGTAGTGAGCCTGCAACCACTTCTTGTACTCTACATCTTCTTTGCCAACAGAGGTGCACAAGGAGGCATAGGACCGTTTCCCCTTGAACTTTCCGAAGGTAATCAGGTTGCGTCCCCAATCCTCCATGGATGACACACCGGCGGGCAACTTGGGCACTTCCGTCATGGCTGCGGCAGCCGATGGTAGCGGTATTGGAAGGCCATAGCCCATCTTGGAGTAAGACGTCAAAGTCTCTTCCTCACGCTGGCGCTTGGAAGCGTCATTCATGGCACCGCCGGCATCTTTCATGGGAATGACATCCCAACCACAGTCAGGTTCCATCACTCGCTTCATCAGCGTTGCAAGCATGCCACAGTCGCGGGCTTTGTACATCAGGCTAAGGCACAGCTGCTGGTCCTCATCAGTCCATTTCAAGACTGGGCGAGGCGGCGATGACATGACTAAGAGAGACAGCGGCAGGCGATCACAGTGTTGCTGATCTTGAGCGTGGCTGCACAGGAACAGTCCTTCTCAGGCACTGCTGCAAGGATACCCACTTCAGTTATTATATTTACCCCAATAACTACCACTACCCCATCTATGATTTTACTAAGCTTACTAACATGGCACAAAACTGGGCACGTTTTTCGGCGATGTCCTTTCGTCTCTGGCGTTCGTTTGCTCTCCATTCCAACACATCTTGCTCTGGACTGATCTGATATTTTCCCACCTTGACACACGCACGCAACAAGTCCAGTGCATTGGCTGACTCTTTGGTCATACTGTCAGCCAGCATTCTGTCAGTTGGTAACCATCGAATTGAGGCACTCATACGGCGGATGCTTTCACGAATGATGATGATATCGATTGAGGTCCTGCGGTCATCTAATGATGGTGCAGAAGGGGACTTCAAATGATCAAACAGTGACTTACAGTCAGTTACCAACATGCATGGGGGCCGTCGTGAGGTTTCCCACAGAGAGTGGGCACAGCAAGGTCCGTATTGGACATCAGCCAAAACTAGTGACATCCACTCGCACATGCTAGAGGCAGTCGACATTGATTGCGCCTCAGCGCTCAGTGTTGAGTTAACTACCCTGGGCAAACGGTGACTCTTCCAGTATGCGGGAGTCCAATCACAAGTCTCTCCTAGTTCCAAACGCTTTTGGGAAAAACCAATGATAAACCCACCCTGAGTGGCACCGCCCTTAGTGTTAGCATATGCAGCATCGGAGTGGCACACTACAGCTATCTCTTCCAGTGGAATGGATTTGAAAACTATACACAAGTCGGCATGCTGACGCGCACGGCGGATGGCATTGTTGGCCGACACTGCATCACCTACACATGGATGAGGAAACGATTGTTGTGAAAACGAAACTTGGGCCGACAGGTCTGGTCTTGATTGAGAACTTAACCAGTTGAGGCTACCGTTGATGGCTCTAAGACAACTTACCTCTTGGTCGGTCAACAAGGCAGTTTTATCCTGGCATCTGCTACGGCTCAAATGCAAAGGACGAATCCCACTTGCAAATTTTGACTGGCTCATGGAAATCTCAAAAGACTGTGGATCCTGAGTATATCGGCTTCCGCAAAAATCCCCATCATGAATACGCCATTTCCTGAACTCAAAACGTTGCTTCAACTGTTGCATAGCTTGCTCATACTTGGGTCCTTGGCCACCTGTGGCGCAGTCATCAACATGCACTCCATAGATTCCGCACAGGACACCGGCTTCATCTCGCAACGTATAGAGACATGGATCGAAGCGGCTGGCATTAAAACCAACAGACAGCAACTCACGGTGCAGCTTCTGCTGCCATGCAGAGGGACTATCATTCAAACCATACACATGGCCTGTCACTTCAATCAAGGTGTCGGATGGCACACCAGGGATGCCCCCAGGGGGCAGTCGTGCAAACAAGGGACGATACCTTTCAGGTAAAGGTCCGGCAGACAGGAAGGCGCCCTTGACATCACCAAGAGCCAAAGTCCATTTTCGTGAGGCTATAGTTTGAAACAGCACACTGCGACTGATCTGAGATAAGGTGGGACTTTGCAATGCACCCGTAAGGGCCTTGGCAGACAAGTCTGGATCTCTATGTCCAAGCAGGCACCAACGAGCCTTGATTTTCACTGGTGCATCTTCTTCTTGTTTGAGGGTGACTACATATCTACTATCCATGATCCTATGAGACAGTTTGCTTCGAACGTATTCAGCTTCAGCACCATGGACTAGTCGACCTCCACACTTACCTTCGATCACATGCCATTCTGCCAATTTGGCCTCATCGATCTTTCGTTGCTGCTCGGGCTCTTGATTAACATGGGGAATCTCCTTAGAACCACGCTTTTGGTGGTAGGAGACAAGCATGACATCATACGGAACACCAGCTTCATACATATGAACCAACTCACGTCGATCATGTTCAGAAAGCTCAAAGGACCTTGACTTGACATGTGTAACAGAACCAACATTTGTGGGTCGCATGCTATCACCATTTGAACCAGAAGACTCAAGTCGGGGTACCTGGGCATGAACCTGATCATCGGCTGGAGTTGGGCTGGCTGCTCGCTTCACACTATGAGATCTAGGAGATGTCATGGCTGTATCTTCTACCTGCGTGATGGGTTCAAGCACCTGTTGCATCAGCTCTGGAACAATCTCTTGCATCATCTCGGCAAAATCTTCGGAACGCATAGTGGCAGGTCGATAGTATGCACTGGGACCATTCTTACCGTTGACCCTACGTCTTATGGGACCATAGGCGGATGCATCTTCATTTGTTCCAGTCTCAGCAGATGGCGCTGAGGAAGCTGAGGGCGCAGGCTCAGTACTCGAATTTCCACCAACGGTTGGTGGTGGCTCAGCATTCTCGGCTACAGGACTTCGGTCCAACATAGGAGCAGCAGGCTCAGCGTCTCGGCGGTCAGCCAAGGACAGGGCTCCATGGGGCTCAGCAGGTGCAGAGATGGATGGTTGTGCTACGGACTCCGATGCTTCGGTGGGATAATCCTGGGAAACTAAGTCAATATATTGTCGGCTGACAATCTGACCCGATTCAAAGGCATGTTTCAACCCCAACAACTCGGCATGAGGAGCACGAACCAACTCTCGCTCTTCACCAGTGGCTGGTCGAATCTGTTCAGGAGCACAACGAATTACCTGACGCTTGTGCACGACCACAAAGTTTCTACCAACCTTACCAAGCACTACGGCAGGCCCATGCCAACGCCCATGATTATCCAATTGACCCTTTTCCCATTTCTGAGTTCTCCAATAGGCAATCAGCTGGCCCGGTTCGGGCTCCTTTTGATGGCGTGGTCGTGCGGCAAGTGCCAATCTCAAAGCCTTGTTATCCTGCAACTCCAAGACGGCCTTTCTAGCTGCATGACGGACTGCAACACGACGTGCTACTTCTTCCTCATACAAGGATGCCGTTGCAGGAATCACTTCAACAGGCTCATCCAGCAAATGTTCAGGAATCCTGGGGTTTCTTCCAAAAATGAACTGTGCAGGGGTCATTCCATAAACCTGAATCAACTCATTTTTGCAGTGCGACGCATAAACGCATTCCAACCAAGATTCTTTGCTTGTGGGTGAGTATTCATGCATGACCTTCTCAAGGATCTGATTGAACCAACCACCATGAACTTCAACCTTCCCAAGTTGATAGTGTGCATCGGCTGCAGTCACATGCACGGTGGAGCCTGACAACTCCTGTGGCTCAGTCAGCACGTCGGACATGTTGACTCGGGCAGGGTCACATACAATCTCACTAGGTTGTCCCGCCCAACTAATCCAGCGTTCCTGCACAGCTTGACGGATACTTTCGGAAGTGACGCGGGCAAACATGGGTATCATAACCTGATAGCTACTGGCATAATCAACTATGTTGAGAGCAGCAACTTTCTGATTAATGGACCAACCGGTGAGATACTTGATGTCTATGCCAATGCGTTGATTGAACACTGTGACACGTTCCGGCTGTGCTGGCAGGGCAGGACTTGGCCGTACACGGGACTGACACTGGGCGCATTCGAGCTCTTTGGCTAGCTCTTGAGCCTTTGCAGAAGCGCCTCCATGCTTCAGGATTCGAACAAGATGCTGGTTTCCCGGATGGCCCAGGTTGACGTGCAACTTATGTAGACTATCCTTAACCTTGGCAACATCTTCATTGTTCAGTTCTCGAACCCTGGCTGCCACAAGACACTCCACTGGTCGGTGGCATGCTACGGACAACACTGCTTGACTTCGCAAGCAGGGCACACTATCCAACACCGCCTTGACAAAACGTGGCGGATATTGGCCGGCATATCGGCTCACACTGCCGACCTGGGCATGATGTCCAGCAACGGTTTGATGGACATGGTGACGATGTGACGGCAGGTCATGGCACTTCAGTCCTAGTTGCTTTTTCATTTCAGCATGTGACACCAACAACTTCGTTGCCTTCTTGATTAGGTCACCATGAGGAATACGGAGTCCAAACCTACACATGTCACAGTCTACCACATGCATGCGTGCAGCCAGGCGCTGCACTCTAGGCAATTTCCAAATCATGGACGGCTTGGGATGTTCCAACACAGCTCTACCACCAGCCTCTAACTGCAGTTCGATCAATTCACAACAAAAATTGATAAACAAGGTGGAGAGCAATTGTTTCTCTCGGACTTCCATGGGATCCATGAAAAGCTTGTTCAGGTGAAACCAACCACCAGACCAAGTGCATGGGGGACAACACAACAAAAGATCAGGTGGAGTATTCTTGACAAGCTCTCTCATGGCCCGTCGATGTTCCACCTTCCGGAAATCCCAACCAGTAAGCAAATCAGCTGACAAACAGGTTTGTCCTCGTACGGCTGTTTGGTGTGCCAGGCGAGGTGGAGAGAACACTGAGAACACTTCAATAACATTGTACCGTTCTGATGACTTGGGCAACTCATCTAGTTTCTTGAATTGCTGCGCAAGTTGCCGGGATTGCTTGGCAGTCCATTGGGTCATCAGCACCTCATCAGAATCGCTTGTACCTGGCACGGGCAAGCTGGAGGAGCAAAAACTGAACACTGTTTCACCCACCCAATATTGGTGAGGTACTTCGGAAATTGCAGCATGAGCCGTGGTTGGATTGGTCCATTCATCTTGCAACTGCTGATGAGGGACATCTGCATCTACTGGTTTCCAACATGTGAGGCGACTGGCCGATAACTCGGCAGGGTTGACTGGGCAATTGGTATTGCAAGGGGTGAATCGTTCAGAACGTGGCCTAACATGCTTACGAGTTACTTCCCCTTTTGCATAGTTAACTGCCCAGTAATCCTTGGATTTACCCTTCCTACCGATTATACTCACCTCCGGTGGCGGAGGGGGCACGGCTGCGTCATCAACAGGCATCATGTCGTAGGCAGGAGTCGGCGCAGGATCACTATGCACCAGCTCGGAGCTACAGACTGGATTCTCCTTGGGCTCAAAGTCAGACACGGAGATGATGTATTGTCCAGCTGAGTTCAAACTCATCGGCACGGTGGTGCTGCCTTGAAACAGTTTGAGCTCATCAGTGTGGAAATTCATCTCAGCACCAAGCTTCTTCATTGCCGGGCGCGACAAAAGCAACGGAGCATCACCCTGAATCACTGCGGCTTGGACGATCCCACGTTTGTCAGCGAGACGAATTGGCATCCCGATCACCTCATTGGATTTTTCACAGGCACCATTCCCATAGCGGAACACGTTCTCCTCGACCCGGGCAGTGGGCTGAGAAACCCCAGCCTTGGTCCAGATTTCTCGAAAAGACTGCAAGGTGTTGGCACCCACGATTGTCTTCCCACATCCAGAATCCAGCACTGCATACCCAGGCGATGATACCAGCATCACAGGATGGTCAGACACCTGTGCAACAGAGGTCATCTTAAGGCGTAGTTGTTCCAACATGGTCAGCGGCTTGCACCACTCGGCAGTGCAAATGAAAAATTCACCTTTCACTTCTTGCACACAACTGGCGCCATGAGTCCCACTACTACTGGCAGAAGCGGCTGAGGCTTGATTCCCACGAGAGCGGCATTCCCTGGCCCAATGGCCAATCTTGCCGCACTTGCGGCATCTTGTTTTCTTCTTCAATTCTTCAATCTCAATGCGGAAAGATCGCTTGGAATCCACCTCCTTGGTGAACTGTCGTGACTGTTTCAGCTTGGCCAGCTCTTGTCGTTTCTCCTTCCATGATACGGCAAGGATATCTGCAACATCCTTCTCATCAAAACATTCTTCATCAGCCGTCTCATGACCCTCGGGATGCTCAGCCAAAAACAGTTCAATGTCACGAAAGTCTTCCTCTGTGGCACTCTGTTCTTCTGAGGGATCGGCGATGGTCTCGGCCAGGGACCTGGCTTCAACCAGGTGAGCAGCTGCCGTCTTGCGGCGAGACACTGTGAAGTCTGGGTAGCATGACCTCATCGACTGAGCCATGGAGTCGAACTTGAGGGACCCCTGGGTTCGAGCCAGTACAACAGCCCGCCGTTCCTCATTCATACCGCTGCATTGCAGAAGTATCCATCCACGAGCCTCATCAGGAAAGTCCACAGCGGTCTTCCTTTTGCACCTGTCGAATGCCTCACGAGCCCGTCCACACCATTGTCTGACGGACTCACCATCACGAGCCTTCAGACTGAAGATCTCTGAGATGTGCTCACCCATCTCATCGCTTCGATCCTTCTGTGGCCACCTTTGGTCAAGTAGCCCAAAGATGACTGCGTCACCACCTTCCTTCTGGTATTCTTCCTCCTCCAGGTGCTCAACTATCTCTAAGGCACGCCCCTGCAGGAGCGTCCACACAAAGCTGCCTCTGGCGGCTGCCGGCAGTTTGTCCATGACGTTCATCTTATTGATCGCACATTGTTTCCAGCGACGATATTCCCTATGGTCCACATCGTCGCCGCCATTGAAGTACCTCATTGAGGCACCCAGTTCCGACATGGCGGAAAATCACTCGTTCTAGAGTGACCTCGGAGCCGGCTTTGTACCGGCTCCGCTACCAATGTTGGTAGCCACCCAACGCAAGCGCAATGCCGATTGCGCACCTTTTCATCGCTTGGCCCTGAAAGTGCCTTCGACCGAACAGCTCATGTACAGACCTTTGGACCCATTGGATCAACAACATATATATATATGTATATATATATGTATATATATATATTATATATATGTATATATATATATATGTATATATATATGTATATATGTATATGTATATATGTATATATATATATATATATGTATATATGATTATATATGTATGCGCACATCATCGCACATATGTATGTATGATCTTGAATGATTATGTATGTAGAGTGTAATATAGTAGCCACCCCAAAATAGAA